CACCACAGAATTTGCTAGGGAATCACCACCATGGAATTTGCTAGGGAATCACCACCACGAAATTTGTGATGGAATAACTACCACAGATTGTGTGATGGAATCCTACTACGGAATACACGACGGAATACCACCTACCACGGATTTCATTCTGTTGTCACATTTGTGACGGAATTATCGTTTCCGTTGCGAACCCTCGCTATGGCGTTTTTAGGGACGGAAATCTGTCGTTGCAAATTTCCTCGTCATTCGTCTTTTGCAACGGAATTTCAGCTTTTCGCAACGGATTCCTTCCGTATAAAAATCGTGTTTTTCTTGTAGTGTTTTCATAAATCTAAACATACTAGGGATGTTTTTCATAATATTCTTCATGTTACTAAGGTTCTTGGTGAGCTCATTCATCTAGACGTGTGGGGACCATATCGTATTGAGTGCGTGGGTGGTTTTAGATCCTTTTTGACTATTATGGATGACTTCACTAGGGCTACATGGGTTTTTCTTCTAAAATCTAAAGAAGAGGTTTTTCAAAGGTATGCTACTTTTTTTAAATGATTAAAAATTTGTTTCAAGCTCTTATTAAAACCATAAGGACTGAAAATGGAACTGAATTTATAAATTTTTGTTTTAAAACTTTTAATGAAAGTAATGGGATTGTTCATCATACTTCTTGTGTTTACACTGCACCACAAAATGGAGTTATGGAGAGGAAACATAGGCACATTCTTAATGTTGTGAGATCTCTGACGTTTCAATCAGGAGTTCCATTAAAGGTATTGGGGTGATGTTATTCTTACAACAATTTTTTTTATTAATAGAACTCCTTCTTCTATTTTAAATGGACTTTTATCCCTGTGAATTAGTCTATAAAAAAATCTCCTTCTTTTGACAATCTTCGTGTTTTTGGTTGTTTGTGTTTTTCTACAAATCTAAATAATCAGGATAAATTTTCTGCTCGTGTTTAAAAATGTGTTTTTTGGGTTATTCTTTAGAAAAGAAAGCGTATAAGGTTTTAAGTCTTGATTTCAATTCCTTGTTTGTTTCCAAGGATGTTAAATTCTATGAGTCAGTATTTCCATTCAGAATGCAAAATTCTTTTTTTGGTAAGTCTAGTGATAGTTCTAGTGGGGTTGATCCATTTTCCTGTGATGAACTTGTTCAATTTGAGTCCTTTGTTGATGATGGTTTGTATAATAGAACTCAGAGACTGGATAATCAGTTTGATGGTGCTAGTTCTCCTTTGGACCTTAATAGAATAGATCCTACAAAAGAAAGTTCAGATACTAGGTTAGGGTTTGAGGATTCCTTAAAGCCTTTATATGTTGGGTTTGGTCCTAGTTCTCCTGTTTCTCCTGACTCTCTTGGTTCACCTGTCAGGACTGAGGAAAGTATTCATTCTGTTTATGAACCCCCTCGATTCACAATCAATTGGTCTCACACATACGATGAGAGAGACTCGTCTTCCATCTCGATTTAGTGACTATATTTTTTAGGGAAAATACAAGTATAGTATTGATAAAAGTCTTAATTACTCTAATCTGACTTCTGAACATAAGTGTTTCATTTCTAATCTTGATAAAACCGTTGAACCTCGGTCTTATTATGAGCCTTCTCTAAATCTTGAATGGGTTAAGGCCATGAATCAAAAAGTTTGTATAGGAATAATACATAGGTAATTACTGAATTGCCTTAAAATAGAAAACCTATTGGTTGTCATTGGATTTACAAAATTAAATACAAGACCAATGGAGAAATAGAAAGGTATAAAGCTCGTCTTGTAGCTAATGGTTACAATCAAAGAGTTGGTATTGACTATGAGGAGAGTTTTGCTCACATAGCCAAAATTGTTACTATTCGAGTTGTAATTACGTTGGTTGTTAATTATTGTTGGAATTTATATCAATTTGATATAAATTATGCTTTCTTGTATGGTTCTCTTGAAGTTGATGTTTATATGGTTTTACCTCCTGGATATCACAGTAAAATGACAATATGGTATGCATGTTGTTAAAATCTTCATGTGGTTTAAAACAGGCTCCACATAAGTGGAATGAAAGATTGACTAGTTCTTTAGTTAGTTTTGGTTTTAAATAGTGTTTTAATGATTATTCTATGTTTGTTAAAGTTTTTGAAAAGGTTGTAATAATTTTGCTGGTATATGTAGATGATATCATTATTACTGGAAATTGTGAGTCTAAAATTATTAAAGTGAAAGATTTTCTAAAGTCTCAGTTTCTTATAAAAGATTTAGGAAAGTTAAAGTTTTTTTTTGGGTGTCGAAGTTGTTGAAGTTCCAAATGGTGTTTGTGTTTGTCACAGAGGAAATATTGTTTGGAATTACTTCATGACTTTGGTATGTTAGGTTGTAAACCAGTTAAGACTCCTCTTGAGTCAAATCTTAATTTTGATAATAGTAATGGTGGTTTGCTGGAAAACATAACTGATTTTCAGATACTTTTTGGAAAACTCATTTACCTTATAATTACAAGGCCTGATGTTGCTTATTATGTTCAAGTATTAAGTCAATACATGCATAAGCCAACTAAGACCCATTTGTAAGTTGCAATGTGATTATTGAGGTATCTAAAACTCAGTCTAGGAAAAGGAGTTAATTCCTTGAAGTCTGAATCAGGTTCTCTTTTATTAAAAGGTTTCTCTGATGCTAATTGGGCTAAAAGACTTTTTCTTTAGAAAGTCTGTAAGTGGTTATGTAGTTTCTCTAGGTAATTCTCTTATTTCTTGGAAGAGCGAAAAACAGTTTACTATATCTCATTCTGCGACTAAGTCTGAGTATAGGGCTTTGGATTCTTTGTCTTGTGAATTAATCTGGGTTTTAAAAAATTTATATGACACTGGTTATAAAAGTTTAGTTCCTATAAATATTTGTTGTGACAATAATTCTGCCATTAAGTTGGCAATGAATCATGTTTTTCATGATAAAACAAAACATTTCAAAATTGATGTTCATTTTATAAGAGAAAATATTTCAAAATGAATTGAATTGTTAAATTGGTTAAGGTTAGTTCTTGGAGTCAAGTTGCAGATATTTTTACTAAATCCCTTGTGTCTTCTCAATATGAGGTTCTTAGTAAATAATTGTGTTTTTTTTTATCCTTTTTCTTCAAAATAATGGTTTTCAAAAAGGTTAGTTTGAGGTGAGTTGTTGAAATAAATAATTGTTTGATAAAAAATATAATATCAAACTAACATTTTGCTTATTCAACTTTGGTTACATTTTTATGTTTTAAAAAGTTACAGATTAAGTTATTAAAGGTGAAGGGTGCAAAGTGTAACTAAAGCAGATATTTTATGGGTTTATACGCGGATCTTCGGATCCTGTATAACCCGGGTACTTAAGGGCAATTTGAGTGAAGGAGAGCCATATTCATCGGTTTATTCAAAATTCATTTACTCTCTTGTTTTCTCGTTGTTTTATCTTCTCTGATTAGGGTTTGTTCTTAGGGTTTGTATAATTCATTCTCTAATCTTGTAGATATGTTAGTTTTAGATTGTAGATCTTTTGTAGTGAGGTTTCCCTGGAAGTTGATGTAAACTATTTGTCTATTGATCCTCAAATGATATAATAGATGATGATGTTGGATAACTGTCACTCTACAAATTTTCACAAATACCCTAAAAAAATAATACATAAAACGAAATAAATTTTTTGGTATAATCTGATGCACACATCCAATATAGATCTCTTAATCGTCGATCACTTTGTACTAAGATGTTTTGAATTAATTGATTGGTTGTTGATTAATAACGGTTACATAGAATATTCACAATCTTTATATCCAATTATGCATGTGGATAAATCTATGATTTTGGTAACCAAGAATGTGCGCCATTTCAAAATCCTTTTTGCTTTTCCCCTTTTTCATTGTCTTCCACCAAAAACTCCACTACAAGTTGTCTCAACTTTTGCTTTTTCTTTGTGGCTGGCATCATGCCACCAACCCAACAATCTACATCGTTTACAAAAGCATACCTGGTGTTCATTAAGGAACATAAGGGGCTATGAATAGTTTGATGATTGCGTAAATGATTTAATGAAAACAGTCGTAAGTCTGACATTAATTTTTACAAAGTGTTGGGAGGTTGCTGTTTGAAGGTTTCTGGTTTCGGTGGTTTTCATTAACGTGCAGTCTTAATTATGGGTTGTTTAGTCAGTCAAGAGTTTCCACAGCATATATTGGCATGATCATGATCAATAGAAACTTCACAACCATTATTGACATAATTTTTCTGAGCAACATTTCTTTTTCTTTTCAGTACTCTTGAGCTCTAGATTTTTTTTTTCCACACTAATGTCGCTCATTAGAGATTCGCAACACCTCCGTGTACCCTTTAGAGATATCGAAATAGCCACTAGAAACTTCACAACCATTATCGGAAAGGGTGGATATGGCGATGTATATAAAGGAGAACTCTTACTTTCGGGTAAACTTACCTCTGTCGCTGTGAAGCGACTACCAAAAAACAACCATTCTGGTCAAGGTCTTAAGGAGTTCTTAACAGAGATTCAATTACTCTCCCGTTATGAACATCCAAACCTGGTCTCCCTTCTTGGTTACTGTGAGGAACACGATGAAAAGATACTTATTTATGAGTATGCAGAGCATGGAAGCCTGGACTGTTACATAAGTATGGCTAATACCAGGTTTCGACTCCCATGGAAGCAAAGAATTAAAATATGCATTGGAGCAGCACGGGGTTTGGATTATCTTCATAACCATGTTGCAGAAAATCATAGAGTTATCCACAGGGATATAAAGAGTGCGAATATTCTTTTAGATCACAACTGGAAAGCTATGATTTCAGATCTGGGTCTTTCCAAGATAGGTCGTGCAAATGAAAATGAGAGTTATCTCATTACAAATGTTGGTGGCACACATGGTTATTGTGATCCTGTGTATATAAATACAGGTATTCTGACAAAAGAATCGGATGTTTATTCATTTGGCGTGGTATTGTTTGAAGTCTTATGTGGGAGGCCATACTTCATGAAGGTAAATGATGAACGCCGATTCCTAACACAACTAGCTCAGACCTGCTACGAAAAAGGGAATTTAAATGATATAATTGATACTGATTTGAAGAAACAGATGAACTCGGATTCCTTGAAAAAGTTCTCAAAGATTGCATATAAGTGCTTGAAGAATGATCGGAAACAACGACCCTCAATGGGTTTGGTGGTAGAGAAACTTGAGAAAGCTTTGGAATTGCAAGTAATTAAGTTCAATTTTTTTTTTTGTGAAAGTTTTTCTATACATAGTAATTAAAACAACTAGACTGAACTCATATATATATATAGACTATAGTGTTTCTGCTTACACTTTTCTACAACTTTTTCTTGGATAGGAACGTGCGGAAACATGGGCACCAAATGTACGTTCAATGTTTTTGAAGTTCATGCAATTCCTTGATGTCCATAAGTGCAGATTACAAATGCACTTCTCTTGGATGGTTAGGAACTTGCATACACTTGTGGAAATGTCGGCACGAAATGTACGTTCAATATTTTTGAAATTCAAGCAATTCCTTCATGTCCATAACCATAAGTGCAAAAGTAGAACTAAACTTTTCTCATTGCAATTATTCAGTAAAATTGAAATGAATTATTAATTTCAAAACCCATTCCATGCATGATTCCTAAATATTTTTGTAATCAAAATTCACTAAAATCTAAAACTTCTTTTTGTTATAAAATAAATGAATTGTTAACGGTAATAATTACATTTTATAATAATAATAAGCATAAAAAACGACAAAAAAAGTAATTATTATGATCATTCATCGGAAAAGCCATTGTCTTCATTTTCTAGCGAAAAAAACCTTACATTGTTTTTCATGTTTTTATTGTCTTTTTTGTAGGCTAACAAGAGGTGGATTGTGATCTTGATACTTTTGCTGATAATGATAAAAAAACAAGTAATAATAAAAATACTATTGATTCTGTTTTTCTTACTTTTATTATTACTAGTATTATTATTATTATTGTTTTTATTTATTAGAACTCTATGCAATAGGGGTTTTGTTCAGATTTCGGATATTCGGATTTCATGTTAGGTTGGATATTTATAGATATATCTGATTTTGTAACAAACCTTAAAAAATATATAATTGTCGGACGCTACTTGTATGTAAAGTGTGTCAATGGACACTCCTTGTTTTGTAATTTTTGTTAGAGAGTATGTAAAAGATATTATAAGTACGTACACCCTTCAAATTTCACGATGGACACCCTTAGAGATGAAATTTTTAAATAAAAAGTTAATAACAACATACAATTCAGATTTGTAACAAATTAAAACATGGAAAGTGAGAAAAAATAAGAAAAAAACCATAATAATTTTCACAAAAAGCGTTGATAATCAAGATATATGGGTTTTCGTATAAACCATCGTTGGTTGCCCCCATGCCTCTCTGAATCTCCGACCGCCACCAACCCACCGATGCTTGCCTCTTCACCGAGATCTATCAAAGTTTTTTGTCCATCTTGCTTTTTTCTGTACCCATCGTTTGTTGTCCGCCAACTTCCGGACAACAATTTTATTCTTGAAAATCAGGTAGGTCGTCTTCCTCTTCAAATTATAGTGGTTGATTTTAAGTTTTAAGTGAGAAAAGAAAAGGTCTTCTTAGGCATCTAAATTATAAATTAGAATAAAAAGATAAAAGAGAGCATATAAATTATAAAGTCACGTATTTATTTAAATCAACGATTATAATTTTATATAATTAAAAAAATATTTTAATTAATAATTTATTTAAAATTTGAGTTTTTACTATGAAAACTTAATTAATTTTATAACTATGATTTCAACGGGTTATAAACTAGTTTATAATAAAATTATATTCCTCGAAAGCTAGTAGATTATATCCAAGATTGAGAAGGTTATGATTTTTTATAAAAAAAAAAGAAAAAAAGCGAGTAGAAGTTTTTTTAATCGGGTATCCGGGTATATTGAATTTTTTTTATTATATCCAATACCCGACCTATTTAAATATCGGGTTACCCGATTACCCGAATTTCCGAACCCTATACCGATTTACCCAACTCGAATAAACCGAATTCAAAACGGACCGAATCGGGTAATCACTTATCAGTTATTTTCAACATAACTATTATGCATCTCGTTTTCACTCACATTTTCTTCTCTGGCAACTAAATCCAACTTTTGGCCATGAGAGATAATCTTGGCCGGTATAGCCGTCTTCCATCTACCGCCCTTCTATGGTAATCCTTTTCAAATAAGTGCAAATCCGTTATCCATATGTTCTAGAAGAATAGAGATACGTGGATTTCATTGTATATGGTATGTGATCCCTTTTTATTAGGGGTGAGTATGGTGTGGTTCGGTACGATTTTTGGCCAAAACCGAACCGAAAACCGCAACTTCGGTTTTTTGAAGTTTAAAAGCCGCACCGTTCGGTTTTTATGCGGTTCGGTTTTTGCGGTTTTTATTCCGGTTTTTTTGCGGTTCGGTTTTTTTGTGGTTTTTTGTAAGTTTTTTTTTTGTTTTCATTTTGCCTTTTTACTAAAACTCAAGTAACTCGGCGAGTTACTTTGACTCAGATGAGGAGTGCTAATCATTTTTTGGAGATGAACCGATACCACCACCTCTTGGTTGGAAATCAAATTACATAACCACTCATCCAACATGTTTCTAATTCTTGAACATAATACAAATTTAATATAATATTTGTTTCACATGTACATGCAATAATATCAATTAATGTATTCATAAAAATGATACTATCATCACTATACTTTTCATATTTAAATGTTAAAAATATCATAAACATTATTTGTTATTGTAAATACCACTGACTGTATGCTTAAAAATATACAATCATCATCCGATAGATAAGATAGATATTTATATTTATAGAAATTTTAATTATCATAAGTTCTTGGTTTTACAAATATCAACACTTAATATATATATATATATATATATATATATATATATATATATATATATATATGCGGGCGGTTCGGTTTTTTGCGGTTTTTGCGAGACTAGAAACCGCACCGCACCGAGTATTTTCGGTTTTTGCAAAACTAAAAACCGCACCATCGGTTTTCATTTCGGTTTCGGTTTATACGGTTTTTTCGGTTTTTTTGGTTTGCGGTTCGGTTTTTGCTCACCCCTACTTTTTATTTCCACACCCACCCATCTCGGGTAAGTCGTAGACTCAAGTAAATTTTTATGGTTGTAATGTTTGGGTAAAATGTTGAGGATTTAATTGAAGGAGTTATAAATTTTCATGGTTGTAATCTTTAGGTAAAATAATGTTAGTGGTTAAAATGTCGGGGTTTCTAAATAGGCATGACAATTCTCGACACGATCCGCTACACGATACGAAATAAACGGATTTGATTTGAGTTTTTCAAACCGTCAACCCGTTTATTAAACAGGTCATATGTGAGTTTCTCAAAAAATATACGGGTTGACCTGCCAACCCGTTTAGAATTTTAATAAAGAAAATTACATATTTTTTAAATGTATTAAGTATTATACAATATACAGTTTATACTTTATACTAAGATAAGATACCCAATATCATTGACCATTTGACCCGTGGGTAACAATATGCTAATTTGCATTGCATCGCCTTTTGCGTTTGCCCTAAATAATCTCAGTATCTCACAAAAACGGCCACATGAACGATTGAATCATTATCGAACGACGTCGACGCCTACGATTCAATTTATCTATGTTTGTATTAATGTTTTAGTTTGAACATGTTTCAATGAATGTTTTTAATTTTTATTTGGATGTTTAAGACTTAAGTTTTTAAAATTCGGATATGTTTGCATCAAAAATTTATTCATTTTTAATTATCAATTTTATTTATGGAATCTGACGCACGAACACACGAACCTAAATCTTACTCATCAACCCGCCAACCTGTGAACCCATATAAATAAGTCGGTTGACGGGTCATATATGCGTTTATGTTCCAAACCCGCCAACCCGTGAACTGTATAATTAAATGGGTCGTGTTTGGGTTGGTATATTTTGACCCGTCAACCCACGACCCGCCAACCCAAACACGATACGATTGGCAGGCCTAATTTCTAAAGTTTCGTGTTTGTAAAACTAGTGATATTTGGGTAACTGATTCCTAAGTAACTTCGATAGTAACTGAATCTCTCCTCAGGTAATTAGTACTATCAATTTAACACCATAGGTCGTATTTCCTTTTAGATATTTGATTTATCCACATAAAAACGAAGTGGTCCAACATTTAGACCTTATTTTAATTGAAGAGACAATCGTACTAAATGATATAAAAATCAAATCACTTTATTCAATAAGTGAACAAAAACTTAAATGAAAATATCACAACCCATTTAACATGTGTTTTAGGGCAGGTCCAAATATATATTTGGTCGAGAACAAAAAGAAAAAAAAAGGCCCAAAGTCAAAAAAATAATAAATATTAAAAAATACACTACATTTAAAAAAATGGTTAATAATACCATCAAAAACAAAAATATAGTCCCAACATATATAAATGCAACTAATTTAAATAAATATAATTATGACGTTTTTAGATGCAACTATCTAGATCTAATTTAAAGGAAAACTAAATATAGTCACAAATATAGTAGATAGATATATATATATATATATATATATATATCTATTATTATATATAGTATATATATATATATATATAGATATAAAAGCAACTAGCTTAACAAGACATCACTAAGAATAACCTTAATAATTTTTAATAACTTCAGCTTTGAAAAATTGTAATAGTAACAAGATGATATAATGCAATCAAAACATTAAGGTAACAATCAGCAGTTTAAAAGCTCCCAAATTTCAACCGCCAACATTAGGTTAAAATTTGTTTATTTTTTTCTCTCTTTTGGATAGAGTCATGAAATCTATATACAATTACCAAATTATTCTATCAGAATGGAGGCGTTTATATATATATATCTAGCTATATATATATATCTATAGTAGATATATATATTATATATATATATCTAGATATATATATATATATATATATATATATATATATATATATAGAGTCAGATCAAATAAAAAAGGAAATTTTTGATGATGTAAGGTAAGAAGTTTTTTTCTACATATTTTTTTCGCGAACAACAAATGAATCATTAGATGATTCATTTGTAAGATGATTCACAAGAAAAATTTTCAAAAAAACATCTCGATGATTCATTTATACAATGATTTTGTTGTTATTCACTAAAATTGTCATAAAAGGGAATTTTTTCTTAATTTACTTTCAAATGAATCATAAAAATGTTTTTTTTGGGAATTTTTTCTTGTGAATCATCTTACAAATGAATCATCTACTGATTCATTTATTTTGTTCGTCAAAAAAAATATAGAAAAAACAACTTCTTACCTTCCTACCAAAAATTTCCTTCCTTACCGGATCTATATCATATATATAGATATATATATAGCTATATATATATCTATATATATATATATAATATATATATATAGGGAAAAATTCAATAGAGAACCATTATTAATCAAGGAACCAAGGAACAAATCCAAAGCGTCGGAATTTAAAGCTATCAACGGCAAAAGGAAGGGTTGTAAAATTTTATAATGGACGCACATATACCGGATTATACACAAAACTCACTTCCTTTTTTTTCTTTAAAAATTTTTAGGCCAAGTTTTTTATCGAAAAAAAAAAAACCGAATATACCGTTGTTCACGATTTTTCGTCCTCTTTCCATAGAGATCAATGATGATATATAAAAAACGAACTTTTTTTTTTCGAAAAAAACCCACTTAATTTTCTTCTTTTTCAATATTTATATTTTTATCAAAAAAAAACTAATTATACCCAAATATTAACTTTTTGTACTCTATTAATAAACATCAACACCAATTTTAAAAAAAAAAAAAAAAAACCTCGAACAGTGTAGATTCACACTGTGAATCTAAACTGTAAATATTTCAATTTTAACATTTCACAATATGAAAAATCTCGAACAGTTCAGATTCACATTGTGAATCTGAAATATTATTATGCACACTGTGAATCTGAGAATGTTCAAAAAAAAAAAAAAAAAAAAAAAAAAAAAAAAAAAAAAACCTCGATCAGTGTAGATTCACACTGTGAATCTAAACTGTAAATATTTCAAAATTTAACATTCACAATGTGAAAAAGCTCC